GAAAATAGAGAATTGGAATAATCAAATAAGTTTTGTTTGATAGAGCTCCATCAAACTCTATTACTAAACATTTTAAGCTTCTTTGACTTTTCAATTTCTTCAACAAGAAATGGTGAAAGAAAAGTAAAAAACAACAAATTGTTGAATCCAGTGATTTGTGACAGCGATACAAAATCACATTAATTAATTTATGTATCGTAAGATTCAAAGTTATCTCACATGATATGAGTTGTTGGCTAGCCAAACCATATCAAATCATGTGACACATTGCAAATTGTAAGATTCTATCATAATAACTATTAAAAGGTTGTCTTCTCCTTGCACACCTTTTGAGGGAAAAAACCTCAAAAAGAAGAACTTTCCGCATTTGTTTTGGGCTTTTGGTGTTTTTATTAATTAACCCATATAATTTTTCACATCAAAGTTACTCCTTCAAGTACTAGAAATATATTGAGGATTGCAATACATTTCTCTGTTCTGGTCCTGGCCTTATATTATCTTAGAGATTACAGATTAGGCTAAAGGACAGAAACAAAAGGCTTCTTATTTCCATTTTCTCTAACCAAAAATAGAGTTAACGTATTTCCTAAAACAAAAGAGGGAGAAAAACTACAAAAAGTTAAAATAAATTGAATGAAACAAAACATACTGTAACATCAGTGCAGAGTACAGAATCATAGTACTTTTATAAAAAAAAAATGAAACAAAGGTAAGTACAGGTAAGTTGGACCTCCCTTATGCAGGGATGGCTATAAGATATAACTAACAGAAACAAACTGAACCTGAAAGAAAAGTTCAAGATCCCCAACCTGAAAATAAAGTCACATAGGCATAAATTAAATATATACCTTTTATACCATGAGAAGTCATTAGGTATGCTTGCCTTAGCATTTTTAAGATGGTCTAGTTGCACCAAAACATCAAGCAACTTCAACATAGACCTGAAGTCAACAACAAAGCTATTAAAAAAAAAGGCAAAACAAAAACAACAACAAAACCAAACAGGAATTATAACACACCACAAATGAGATATTGTAGGGCCATTAATGCGCCGCTCAGGCCTAGAAAAACGTTGCATGTCAGCAGCTAACTGCATAAAATGACATTTACAGATTTACTTAATGTGCTAAGACTAGATCAGGCGAAGTTTCAGAAAAAATAAAATAGTAACATATAATTTGTAAAAGACATCCTGTACTTTTGAGGAAGCTGATGTTTGCCATCGCTGAATTTCACGCAACCGACTCATTTCCAAATCCAGAACTTGGTAAGTTTCCAAATATAAGTCAGCTTGACTTTGCTTCATAGAGTCTGGAAGCTGTCCAAAATGCACAAATTACATAAAACAATATAGGCATGTGGAAACATTAAAATGGATCTTCAGTATGGTCAATTTATATTGCCAGTTATCAGCAAAGCAAAAGAATATGGCCGCATACAAGATATGATGTGGCATTAAGCAAAACTATCAGTTAAGTGAAGCCTCATCCACTTGACTTAAATCATTATACCCCAAAAAGCTAGGTTTGAAGTTGGAACTTTGGGCATGGACCATCCAATCAAAACATTAAAAAATAAAAAAAATATTGTTTATAATATTAAGAACTTTCCCTTTTGAGAAACCGATGTATAGATACTTCATAAAAAAACTAGTCAACGAGCATAGTAAGTCAGGGTTAGTGCCACTAAACTTCAAAGATAATGTACATCAAGTACAAAGATTAACCCTTTTAATTCTGACAAAAATTCTTCATTTATAAAAAGGCAATGTTCAATAAACCCACCAACTGACTTTGATGACCTGTAATTTCAGAGAGAATTTACCTGAGGAAGTGCTTTGACACAACTGCGATATGTGTAAAGCACTGATGCCATCTCCTTGCCCTCTTGGGTAAGGGCATTCTGCATTTTGTATAAGCAAAAAGCAATTAAAATTTATAATCAGAATAAATAAATAAATGACAACTAAAGGCAGATTAAGCAACAAAAATAGCTCAACAGCTGCATACCAGCTGATTGAGAGCTTTTGTGTCCTCTGATAGAGATAGTCGGTATGCAGAAACATCACTATACTCTACAAAACAGATGGCAGTAAATGGTAATTACAGTTAAGTGTTAGCATCTTTGAAGCAAAGCCAAAAGTACGCAAGATTCAAGTACAATCACAGCATAAACGCACAACATATCCAAATAAAAAAATTGGAAGAAGAAACAGAAGCACCTATTGGACTTTCTGTTGCACCTCTCTCAGTTGACACCCACACTCCGGGCCCTTGCACCTCTGGTTGCTCATCCTACATAATTTAGAAACCAAAAACAAGCAATGCAGATATGAAAATAACTCGCATATATATGCAAACAAAACCCTCAAGTTCCTGCAATGCGTTATTGAAACCTCAACATCAAATTACACATGCTATGTATCTAGTATCAGATCAGTAGTTTGTTCGGTCCATTATTTCACCACTAAACGTTTCGAATAAAAAGAAGAAATAAGCTCGCTGACTACAATAAACTCATTCAACTCCAAAACCAAAACGAAAGTTTCTGTAATTAGAATTAGCACAGATTAAGCGAATAACGGACCGAATTATACAAAACAACAGCAAAATTTAAGAAGTAAATAAAAAAGATCCGCAAGCGCATTTGAATTTTGGTAACAAAAGAACAAAGAGAAATGTAGCAGAAAGAGGATTTAAATGGAGAATGAAATTGCGGTGCGAGTTGTTCGTGAAGCAAGTACCTCCAGCGAGAATGTGGATAGAGCTGCAATGGCTTCTTCGACGGGTACAGCCATCACAAATTGTTGAGCAATCTATAAGAGAAACCAAAGCGCGAACAATAGAAATGCAGAGGGAAGATGAACTACAATTCCTTCGTTTCTCTCTCCTCCTCCACTCGGTAGGTACATAACATCACAGAGTCTTCAATTGCAAGGCTGAGCAGGTATTTTTTACGTGTGGACTATAATGCCCTCCTTCTACGCTGTATTTTTCGAGCTATATAAATATATCAAATATTCAACAGCATTTCAACAGAAAGTACTCTCACCAATTTTTTTAAAGATGATTTCATAATTAATTCATTAAAATAATTTAAATTATATATTGTAAATCAATAATATAATTTAAAAATATTTATATAAATGGTTAAATTAGTGATTTATACACTACATAAATAAATATATTATTTATATCGGTAATGTAATTTATTGACGTGATTTTTTTAACAAATTAAAATATTTAATAATTAATGTATTTAAAAAAAATTTATTTCTGACAATTTAGATAAAAAATTATTATTTTTATTTAATATAAAAAGGTTTAAAAAGAGTGTAAATTATGAAACAAAAATAAATCAAGTAATACAACCTGACCAGCATAAAATCCAAACTTGGTTAGTATAATTTGTACTCCATTAATGGTTTAATCGCTTTAAAATAATGTTCGACAAAATTTATTTTATTAAAAATAATAAACCATATTTAATATTGTCATCAGTTATTAAAGTGAAATTTTAATTTTAAAAAATAAAAACATCTTAAAAAACTGTACTTATAATTTTTCGTATAATGATTCTCTGAATTTCATTTTAATCCATAGTTTGTTTTGTTTTTTTTCTGAGTTGCTAGTGGGTCATTGGCTTGGTGGATTTTGGGACTATCCTTTAATCCAATAATTATATCCATTGACTTCAAAGTGCTAAAATAATTCCAAGAACTTCCTCATTTGCTTTGAACTTAAGCAAAAGAGAATTACCTGGATAGCAAACATTAAGTAGCATTTACTCAGCCATTGTAGTATATATGTGTGTGTGTGAAAAATAATCCTAGAGATATAAATAATTTATTAAAGCAAAACCTAGCAAGATTAAAGTTTGAGGACAGTAATTAGTTGACAAAATTTTGTTAAACGACTTTATTTTGCAAGAGCTCATTGTTTCTTAGAAGAATTAAATTTATTAGCAAAACTTTAGAAATTATTGACAACATTTAAATTAATAATTAGAGAGAATGACTAAAATATACAATTCATACTTTTTTTCAAAAAAAGAATCGCCATAAAATTGACATAAAACTAATTTTTTTTCAGTCAGAAAAATTATAATTTAGTTCCCTGATAGCCCACGGTCTATACACATATAATTTTATTTTTTATTTTTTTTTGTTTTTACACATATAATTAATTTTGATATTATTCGTTTGAGTGATTAAATTGATTTAACACTATTTTTAAAGAATATTGACACACATGTATTTAATGAATAAAGTCTAATGAAAGTATAGTTGATTTTTTTAGTGTTTTTTCTTAAATTTTTTCGTTGAAAGATTTTTTTTTCCCAAATTTAACAAGACTGGATAAATTATCATTTATTTGTAAGGCTATTTGAAAAAACATCAACTTCTATCTATTATTTTATATTAAAAATTATTATGATATTATTAAATCATGTTTAGTACAACAAATTAAATTATTATATATAATATGATAATGGATATTTTTTATTTATTTTACGTGAAAGTTTTAATTTTTGATCTTGTTGGCGCCAACTGTTTATCATAAACACCGAATGCTTAAATGTTCGCATCCAAACATAAATTGGCATTTAATATATTTATTATTACAATTGTTAGAAAATAAAAAAATAGTAGTAATATATATTTTTTATTGATTTGTAATATTTTTAATTATAAAACAAATTTGTGGTGAGCATTATTAAACAAAGAACGAATCTAAACTTTCATTGATTGAACTAAAACAAAATAAATTATTATTATTATTAAAATGTACATATAAGGAATATATTATTATTATTTTATTATTATTAGAAATTATGTCTTACGTTGGGTTACTGCTTACAATCAATAACCCAAAACATAAAGTCCCAGCTAGTTTATTATGGGAACATTATCGGTCAAAAGCAAAAACGAGGAGCTAATTAAACACAAGAGACTGTGGTCTTCATTGGGTTTGGTCTATAAGAAAAATCACGAAGGTGAATCAAATGCTTAAATTTTTAAGCTCTCGCAACACAACTTCAACCATTGCACGCTTTAGAGGCTTCTCAAGACAGTGGTTCAATCCAGCAGCTAGAAATTCCTGTGTTTCTTTGCCATCAGCCCTGCTAGTGATTCCCACAATCATGCTCTTCACACCCATAGCACGTAGCTGTTTTGTTGCCTATTGCAAGGAAAATCAATATTTAATTTGTAATTAACAAGTAATCATGTTTTTAAATAAGGAATCATGCTAAATACCGTACTTCACTAACTGATTTACATAAACTAATTAATGAATATATATATATATTTAGTACCTCAACACCATCCATGATTGGCATTTCTTTGTCCATGAATATTATGTCAAACTTAGCCCCAGAACGACACAAATTCACTGCTTCCTTTCCATCCTTAACTGTTTTTGTCTCAATTTTAAACAAGCTCTCGAGCAAGGTCTTGTGGATTTTACCAGTGACAGCATCATCATCCACAATCAGTGCTGAAATTTTTGAGCTCGATGAGTTGGATGAACCAGCTCCTGTGTTCAATTGGTTCATGGATTCCATTTGATTCCTAGTCCAAGCTATTTAGTGTAAAGAAATTATACCCACGTTAAATAATATCGAAAAACTTAGGAGGTGACATGCATACATATGAGATAGAAATCTATTTAACTACAGAATAAATTAAGATGTTATATATTTTCCGTGTACTAATATATAAGTGCACCCTGCACCCTGCACCCTGCATTGGCATACTATATTTACGAGAATTAATTAATCAACGATCTAAAGTATTAGCATAAAGTTCAAATAGAAGCTATACCAAGGCAAAGAAAACACCACAACACCCAAATTTAATACCGATCACTACGAAAATGCTTTACATTATAACCACAATAGCACAAAAAGATTATGATTGTGGTATACAAAGAAGATATGTCTGAATCACTCACTTTAACTTCGGAACTTCTTAAGAATTTCTTCTAATTAGTCAAATGTACAGCATACGGTTCTACCCCGAAGCTGTATAAATACTCAATAAATTAATGCTCGTAAGACCAGGATTGGCTAGATATGCATCTATTTTTCATCGTAGAAAAATGCTAAAATGAAAGTGAAAAGATAGAATGATATGAAATTTTGATATGTGTGCTTCATTTTTCTTTTTCTTCTTTTGAAAAATTTTAGATATGAAAACTTCAGAAAAATTATTTTTTTTCCAGTTCGGTCAATTCTATGTCATTACTTTTACCATCCAAGTGGATACGCAATAATTATTATTTTTTGTATATTAGATGTGTAATAATTTTTTCGTATTAGTATTAATCCAAATCCAGTTTATGGATTGACCATGTGCTTCTATGGTATGATGCTATATCGAGCATAAAAATGCTCCACGTTGTCATTGATTATCACTTAAAAAGGGTACAAATCTTGATTTGAAAAGTAAATTGGATGCACGCATATTTGATTGACAATCAAGGTAGTTGAAGTGCATGCACAATCCTACTTTTCTTTATCCATTAAATTAGCCCCTTGTTTTTTAATTCGTGGTAAAATAAAAATAGATTTCACTTTAACTCTTTTTATGTAAATTTATGGATTTGACATTTAATTTTCCAGTTTATTTTAAGAGAATAAATAAAGAGAAATAAGTAATTTAAAAAAAAAACTACAATTTTGAAGAATTTTAAAAGGTACGTAGTGGTTAAATGGAGTAAAGCATTTTACAACCATTTTTTAATTCTCTATCATCTTTAAATAACAAAAGAATCCCAAAACATAACTCACATTAAAATTTAAACGTCAATCTATTAAAAATCATAAATGATTTGATATACTAAAAATTTAATTATGTTTAACTTTCTTTAGTTCTTTTCATCATACTTGTAGCGCTTTAATATTTTTAGTTTAATTAAATTTCTTTATTTTTAAAAGTGTCTTTAATAATACAAATTTATTGTTTATTTATGACCTTATTTTTTTATTAAAAAAGTAGTAAAAATTATTTGATAAAAAATTAGAATAGCTTATAAAAAAAATACTCTACAAGTAGCATTTAGCTTATTAAAAAACAACTTCAAGTCTTTTTATTTTTATTCTTAATTTTTTCAATAATTTACCTCTATATAAAATATTTTTAAATACTTTTTATTATTTAATATATTTCAACTTGTTTGTACAACTAATTTTATTAAATAATTCTAATTTAATTAACTAAACTCGATTTCTCGATCATGGATTTGACCCCAACAAACTAAAGGTTCATTTTTTTTGGGGGGGGGTTTGGGTTGGGGGATATATTTGACCCTTCTTATAGAAGGTATGATAAAGGAGTTACATGTTGTCTGAAAGGTACCAGAGATGAAAATGTTGCGAGCAATGTATCGGATGAAAATGTTATAACTCACTTTTTGTTTTTCAACGCCAATTTTCTATTTGATTTTCTAGTTAATGTTATCATTTAATTTCAGATCAGCTTGAAACACGTTTCAATCTTATCAGCAAGCCTAAAGAATGCAAAGCAGCGTTTATAAAAGGGGATTATTTAATTTATCAAGAATTCGTTTCTAGAAAACACAACTCTAAAGGCTATGAAAGTCACACACTTGATACAAATTGATAACAATCCCGGTTGCAATTACAAAGAAGACATGCATTATTAGAGTTGTGATCATGTGTTGTTAGCATCCAATGCTAGGACGGTGCTGAGGTTCATTGGTTTCATATATCTCTTAGAACCTGACATAATTTGCTCCACAATAAGTCTGCTTGCCATTTCGGATGGATGGAATGGATCCCAAAATGCATACAAGTTTCTGTTGGGGCACAAGTTAGAGAGTGGTGTGCATAATCCAATCCCATTGTAGGGTCCTTGCCCACAACAAGCAATTTTTGATGTAGTAAATCCTGCCCAACAACAACATATATTAATACATAAACGTGTTACTTAATTGGTGCTTTAAATTGTTTCTTAGTGAATGCAATTTAGAGAAACAAGTTGACATATAAAGATATAAAAGTCATGGCTAGTACCATATGCTGATGGGTTACTAACGAAATCATTATGCATCAGCGCTGTATTAGCAGCAATAAAAACGTCTTTGCCAATTTTTTTGTTGAGTCCTTGTACCATGTGTAGTAGTTGAGGGTTATACAGTTCTGCAGCACGTTGAAGTTCAGCAGAACATCCCCCATTTGTTCCGCGCATGGCCAATTCTGCTGGAACACAACCCATTGGTCCAGTTCCTGTCACAAGTACTCTGCGAGCTCCTAGATCATATAATCTCTGCAATAATTTGTTACACAATAAACAGGACCGCATGAATTTCATTTGGCTAGATAAGTTAATGTTGTTATTATTAATGATTTTTCTAATCTGAGCAATATTGCATAGAATAAAAAGTTATATATAGTTCACAATCATGAGTTTGTATTTCAAATGTTACACAAGTTAAAAAAATCGTATTACTATAATTTTGGGTATGAGAAGTTAATTATTATTAAACTGTGGTTGATGAGAATGATTTGATTACCTGTAAGAGTTTACGGTACTCTACAATGAGAAATTTAACATAATCCTGTAGCGAATACTGGCGAGACCTTGCAGAATAAGGCACCAAGTAGTAATTGTTTACGAAATCGTTACCACCAACAGTAATGAGGACCAATGCTCGATTGACAAGTGTCTTAGTACGAGATACTCCAATTTGAGATGCAATTCGTTGCTGGTATTCTTCAAAGTAGTCTAACTGTCTATACATTCTGATTATATTCAGCTGCAAGATTGAGTCATTAGCGCCGTATATATGTTAGCATTTTAATTTTAAGTAAATAAAGTTGCTTAATTTTTTGTGTTGTCGCTCTCTTTTCATGCATGAAAATTAAACTCCTCGATGGGTATGTGTAGATATATATGTGCACTGCTAACTTGCAGAGTATATATTTTGTTTTATAGTAGCTAGGGACTTACAAACTGTGCTCCAGTGTCGTTAAGAATGCCGATTCCAGCGGAAGCAAAATTTGCACCATTTAGAAGCTTGTCACCTCTTAGTTGTGGACTCAAGTATGGCAACACAGACTCAGCACCTAGTCGTTGACCTGAGATAATCAATGCAACTGGTTAACTATACATGCACACACATATTAGACTAATCATAACTTTTAAAATCCAATTAATTTAAGAAAAGAATTGCCTAAATTTTATAATAAATATAAGTGTGATTTATAAATATTTCAGTTGTATTAATATTTAATTAGTATTTCTCATTTTTTATTTATCTATTCTCATCACATTGTATCATATATCACATCTATCATTCGATCTCTTGTTTTTCTAAAATATATTCTTAACTAACAGAAGACATCTTAACATCGTACGAGTATCGAAGTATATGTCTCATCATTTCTCAAATAATAATTAGTTTGATGTGAACTAATATTATCCCAAAAATTGAAAATTAATTCTCACGTAAAGACAGTTTTATATTGTAAGTCAAAGTTAGCGAAGGTGAGAAAGAGTGAAAATGCATGCATGGTTTTGGATACGTGGTTGAGACATGGAAGTAAAACTTGGAATACGTAACTAATAAGATCAGGAATGTTGAGGCCATTGGAAAAACGACCGGTTGGTCTGCGAGTTGGATAGTCAATGCCATAAGGAGGGGAATCAGCTCGTGCAGTAGTGGTTAAGTAATTGTTGTTACCACTATCAACAAGTGAATCTCCAAATACAAAGAAAGCCCTGGATTTGGCCTCTGCTCCTGGGACAATGACCCCAGCTACCAAAACCATACCAAAAGTTATCATCACGGGAACAAAAGCTGAGGGAAGTGCCATTGATGAGTTGAAAACAACCTTTCGATGTGTGTGTGGATATAGCATGAATTCAAGACTTTTTATAGCGGGTTTTTGCTATATATCTTTTTCCAAATACAAACAAAATAAAATTAAAAGGAGGATTTTAGGCTATTTTAGGTGTGTTGGCTTGCACGTCAACTTTTAGGTGGTTTTAATTGAATTTGAATAATTGAATGATTCAAGTTTTAGTTCTAAAGGTGCATCATGTGAAGAGGGTAAAAGATATGAATAGATGGAGATGCAGTTAGAAATAATTTCCGCCGCCCAAGCACCTTTGAAGAATTAGAAAGAGATGAAAAAAGCAAAAAGTGAAAACAGGTATGTTTCCTGCGCTTGATGCATGCTTTTAATACAACCAATTAATATAATATAGGTGATGAATTATTCTAGCTAGTCACGAGTTGAATACTAGTGTTTCGAGCAAAGACTCTTGTTCAAAACGCCTTAGACCTTATTGCCAGCTTCCCAGGCCTCAATCAGAATTCTCTGTCGTTAATTATTTCTCCCTCTTAAAGGCAAATTTTACTAACGTGAAGTTCATGGCAACAAGAATTTAGAATTAAGATACAACATGATATCAAACTTAATCGCTACGTCCTGTTTAGATATTTAATTAATGTTATGAAATTACCAAAATAAGCTGATAATAGAAATCAAGAGCTTAAACAAAATGGTTTTCAAGTCGTATAATTTTATTTTATATTTTCTCTTGTAATTACTGATACTGAAAATGAGCGTTAGGATGTGTTTTAATATATAGTTTAATTAAGTATGTATTCAATAAATATTTATTATATAAACATTTATAATATAGATTTGATTATAAAATTTATTAGAATGTATTAAAAATAATTATAAAATTATTTAAATATATTTTTAGAAAATTATAAACTATTTTTAAATTTTGGTATAAGTTTTTTAAAATGCTCTTAAATAACAAATGAATGTTGTGTTATATGTTTCGGAAGTGGAATATGATTATTTTTTTCGGTGGCGCGACCTCGTTTCGTCGGACGGATATTAACCAAGTGACCTTTTTTCGTTTTTCTTTTTAATAAAAGTTAAGGTTTAGCTCTTAAAATTAAAGTTAAGCAAATTAAAAGAAAAAACATATATAAAAACCTTTTATATTAAAATATGGAATTATAATTAATATTTTATTTTTTAATAAATTATTATTATTACTTCTTAAACTTAATGTGAAGAACTAATAATTATAAAACCGTTTTTTATGGACAAAATTTGTTTCATCATGATCTGCAATAAATATAAATTCCATTACGACTTGGTGGGCTTGACTGAAAGAATAAAATAGTTGAACTGTTGATCGATCCATTAGTGTGACTGTATGTTGCAGTTGGGGGAAAGAAAAACTCTATCTGGGCCCAACTTAATATATTTTTCTTTCCACTTTATTAATAGTGCACGAAAATTCATGCACTGTACCAAAGGTAGATCAAATTTAAAATTTAACCTAAAGTTAGAAAAAAAATTTAAAAAATTATACCTTTCAATTAGCACATGAATGTATGTACCACAGTTGCCTTTTTTTATCACTTGCGTCTTTTTATTATAACTGTCGCGGATTTCAATGTTGGTTTGCTATTTCCTTGAAAATTTGATTATCTCATTGGAAATTGGGTTATTTCACCTTTGATATTTTTTTCCCCTTCTCAATAAAAACTAGGTATCTCATCGGAGGATAAAAGAAAAGGTGAGTAAAATCTCAATTCAGAACTTCTTTTTAAATAATTATTGAAATTAATTAAAGAATTTCTCCAAATATGAATTAATAAAAGTGTAGTCAAAAATTATTTAAAATTAAAATTACTCATTGATTATAATAAAGAAACAAAAGAATGTAACTAAGTTAAAAATTAAAATATAAATTTCAACTAAGGTAATACGTTCAATAATGAAGTCATTTATATGCATTCTTGACGTATTAGATGATAAAATTATCGCTCAATAACTTAAGACAATCGTGTGAAAATACTTAAATAAAAAGAGAAAAAGAAAAGAAGAAACTATAGAAGATAAAAATTCACTGAATTATTATGCAGTCCTTCTTCGTACTGCTGGAGAGATTGAAAATGAAGACGGTACTTATCGTCATCCATGGACTACAACATTATAATATACTACTATTTAGTACCCACTACAACTTGGAGATTATTGAGGACACCAAATTAATTTTCAAGACATATCAACGTATATCACAAATTAACGAGTAAACTTTTTCGTAAGACACAGAGGTGGGCTAGTTCTTAGAATCCAAGGCCAAAATGGTGCTGAGATTCATTGGATACATATACTCTGTGGTGCCTGAGAGGATCTGTCGAGTGATAATCTTATTGGCTCTTTCTGATGGATGAAAAGCATCCCAAAATGCATAAGCATCGCGATTTGGGCACAAGTTGGAGGCCACAGTGCACAGTCCTAGCCCATTATAGGGTCCTTGACCGCAGCATGCTACTTTTGATGTAATAAATCCTGCATGTTTAACACCCCGAGCTTTACTATACCATAGAGCATTAATTGCTTTGTTTGATTTATATTTACATGCAATCCGCTTTTAATGAACTCTTATCTATCATAAGTTATATCTATAACTATATATCTATCATTTAGTTCTAATCACATGATAGTTTTAATGGTTAAGATCCCATTCCCATTCATGTTAGTCTTTCCCTCTTACTATAATTTTAGTTTGAAATTTTAATGCCGAAATAAAAGCCAAAAACTTGCCTTTTCTAGAACACCCCAAAAAAGATAATTATCATTTGAGAGTTGAGACCCTCACACCCCAAATACTCACAAAATTGTACATTATAGGAAGAAAGGAAAATGATTTCTTAAACCCCACCCCTACATGCTATGAAGTGTATGTCTTCCACACAACTTTATCCCTTTAAAGGAGTAACCTTGTGTACTTCTATGGTTGGTATACCCACTCTACAGCTCAATAATAAATGCAAAGTGTGTATAATTTTGTGCAAGGCCAATCCATGTGCGTACGTATATTATATACTGTGGTAATGTAATTAGTACATTTATTAATATTTACCATATGCTTGAGGATTATTGACGAAGTCACTATGCATCTGTTGTGTGTTGACTCCAACGAAGACATTGGAACCAATTTCGCTGTTGAGTTGTTTGATAATCTGAACAAGTTGAGGGTTGAACAATGACGCAGCACGCTGTAGGTCTGGTGAACATTCCCCATTTCTGCTTCGTTGAGCCAATTCCGCTGGAACACAACCCAACGGACCAGTTCCCGTCACCAGCACCCTACGTGCCCCAATATCGTATAGCCTCTGAAATTCCATTTCGCATTCAAATGTTATATACTATATAATAAAGAAATGCAACAGTTTTATTTAGTAGCTTAGCTAGCATGCATAGACATTACTAGGTTTACCTATACTAATATGTTATACATTTTTTTATAACATATGGTATGAGACTTTAAATTTACAAAACTCATATTAATGGGTTAATTTTTGTTAAATAAATATTATAATTACAGCATAAACCTAATGTTTTCATATGACATGTGCTTCAAGTAATGGACATGCATGAGTTAGGAAACAAAGATAAGGATAGAATCAATAAGACTAATTACCCTCAGAATCTTCTTATACTCAGAGATCAAGTACTTGACATAATCTGGTAAATTGTATTGGCGGGATCTTGCAGAGAAAGGCACCAGGTAGTAGTTATTGACAAAATCGTTGCCTCCAAGAGTGATGAGGACTAATGCTCCATTCACCAATTGCCGAGTTCGCCCAGCTCCAATAAGAGCAGTTACTCTCCGCTGGTATTCTTGGAAGTATTCCAGTTGTCTAGATATCCTGATTATGTTTACCTTCATTTGCAACAACATATATACATAATCAATATTTATTTTATATCCAACCAAATGACAATGACTGCTATATAGCCTATTATAAAATTAGTTATATCGTCTTACTAAAAATAACTGTCACTATTTCGTAGAAAATTATGTATCTGGTGATGAACAAAAGTTTTGTCACCGAAACTAATAATCAGATAATTAATTTTCATATCATCAGTGAGTACATATCTCTTGTGTATTATCTACGATTTTTAAAATTCAACTATTTCTTCTTCTTTTTTTAAGTACGAACTAAAAGAAAAAGATATTCAAAATAAAAGGGATAATGTTCATATACATATATATATATATATATATATATGACAAACTTAGCAAACAGCTCTCCATTTTTTGACTTACGAATTGAATTCCAGTGTCATTGAGAATTCCAATACCAGCAGAAGCAAAGTTGGCACCAACGAGCAACCTTTGCCCATTGAGCTCGGGGCTTAAATAAGGCAATGTGGATTCTGCCCCAAGTGCTTGACCTAAACGAAGCCAAATAAATATGAAAATTAACTTAATGAGTTAAGTAACTACATACATTATTATATAAGTACGTGACAAATCAAGGAGTCATAAATAGCATTAAACAATGTTAAAAAGACTAGTTAGTTAACGGAACTGATGAAATCAGGAATGTTATAGCCATTAGAGAAACGGCCAGTGGGTCTGCGAGTTGGGTAATCAATGCCATAAGGAGGAGAATCTGCACGAGCTGAAGTAGCCAAGTAGTTGTTGTTGCCATTATCCACAAGCGAATCTCCAAACACAAAGAAAGCACGCGCTGCCTCTGCCCCAGTGAAACCACTCCCTAGTGCCACCACTAGACCCATAACAATGTAAGACGCAAAAACCATAGAACTAGCCATGGATTTTGATTTTGGATGGAGAAAGATAAAAATTACTAATTAATTAGTGGGCAAAATGGAAAGTTTTAAGTACGGAGCGAGCTGCTCTGAACTAAGCAAACATTAACTTGATATGTATATGAATGAGGAATGGGTCTTTATATAATCAATAGATTATGTGATTGTTGAAATAATGAATGGCCCACATTGCAAAAGCTAGTACAGGTAGTTGCATGCATTGGAAATTAAGGGCCTAAGGTCATGTCTGACCAATGTTTCAAGTAAGGGACACGATATATCGAAGCAAAGTCATGCTCGTGCGGTGTAAATATACATAAGCCTTAAGGCTTCTTCAACTGATATAATGTGGGGAGATTTGACAGACACTCTTATGGCAGCAAGTACATGTAAATCTGAGCAGTATTACCGACCAAAAGCAAGAACTGCCAATTTCGTTCCATTCTTCTGCTGGAGGGGACATTTTACCACTTTAATTATGTTGAGAAAATTACGCCGAATTTTCTTGTAATGTCAGATTTGTGGAAGTGAAAAATAAATGTGGAATATTGCACACAAAAAATTGATAACGGAGTTCGGCCAATAATGCTTACGTCTCTGGACTGCTGCAGATATATTACTGAAAAGGGAATACACTCAGTGTTTACAAAACACTCAAAAATGATTCACAATCATTCACAACCCGTAACCCAATTGTATCAGAAGCTAAACTATTTTCTCTGTTTTTGCTCTCTGAATATTTTCAGTTGTTCTGCATTTTTTGCCTTTCATTGCTTTTTTTATATAGGCAAATGAAACGCTTAATTTCAAAACGCGTTAGGTACCGAATTTCAAAACGCGTTAGGCACCGAAATTGTACGCGTTTTTCTTTGTCATGCGCCTTTTTTCTTTGACTTTTCAACAATCTCCCACTTGATTCAATCTGTCTTCACACCTCAATCAATGCAGCAGTCTTTTCTGGTCTGTTATTCTAGCAGGCCAACTGAAGTTGAACACAACTTTAGTTTGTCAATGGTCACCACCTTTGTTAGCATGTCTGCTGGGTTCTTGCTTCCTACAATCTTTTTCAATGTCAGCACTTCATCCTCAAGCATAGATCTGATGAAGTGATAACGTATATCAATGTGCTTGGTTTTAGAGTGAAATGCTGAATTTTTTGCCAGATGTATTGCACTCTGACTGTCACTGTGCAAAACACTCCTCTCTTGGATGAATCCCAGCTCTGTTAACAAACCTTGAAGTCATATCAACTATTTACTGGCTTCTGTTACTGCTACATACTCAGCTTCTGTAGTGGATAAAACAACAATCTTCTGTATCCGCGACATTCAACTGACAGCTGTAGTACCAACAGTAAAAATGTAACCGGTGGTACTTCTTCGGTGATCAACTTCACCTCCGAAGTCTGCATCTACATAGCCTTGTACTTTTAATTCTCCTTTTTCAAAGTACAAACAATTCTTTGTTATGCCTCGTAGATACCTCAAAATCTACTTGACTGCTTCCCAATGAGCTTTTCCTGGATTTGCCATAAACCTGCTTACAACTCCTACTGCATGGCCAATGTCTGGCCTAATACATACCATTGCGTACATCAAACTTCCAATGGCTGAAGCATATGGAATCTTAGCCATGAAGTTTCTTTCTTCCTCCGTCTGAGGGGACTGATCCTTGGATAGGCGAAAGTGACTGGCCAAAGGTGTGCTAACTGGCTTGGCTTTGCCCATGTTGAATCTTTGTAAAACACGATTGATGTACTTCTCCTGAGATAACTGCAAAATTCCTCTTTGCTTATCTCTCGTGATTTGCATTCCAAGAATCTTCTTTGCTGGACCTAAGTCTTTAATGTCAAATTCTTTTGACAGCTGCATCTTTAAATCTCTAATCTCGTTCATATTTGAACCTGCTACTAACATATCATCAACATAAAGTAGCAAGATGATATAACTGGACTTATATATTTTGAAGAAACAACAGTGGTCGGCATTGCACTTCTGGAAGTCTTCCTTGTGCATGAAGCTTTCAAACTTCCTATACCACTATCTTGGGGCTTGTTTCAGGCCATACAAGCTCTTCTTTAATCTGCATACCATATTCTTTTTTCCTTCTTCTGAGAAACCTTCAGATTGATGCATGTAGATTTCCTCATCTAAGTCTCCATGAAGAAATGCAGTCTTCACGTCCAATTGCTCAAGATAGAGCTCTTTACTAGGCACAATACTTAAGACAGACCTGATAGTATTGAGCTTTACAACTGGAGCAAAGATTTCAGTGTAGTCAACTCCTTCTTTTTGCTAAAATCCTTTGACAACTAGTCGGGCTTTGTATCTTTTGGAGCCATCATGGTCCTCTTTCACCCGATACACCTATTTGTTGTGAAGTGCCTTCTTTCCCATAGGTAACTCAGCTAGTTCCCATGTCTGGTTGGAGATTAAAGACTTCATCTCGTCTTTCATAGCAAGCTCCCACTTATTGGTATCTATAGTCTGACATGCTTCTACATAATCTTCAGGCTCTCCTCCATCAGTCAACAATATGTAATCCATATATCTCCTGTTAGGCACATGAGGTCGAGAAGACCTTCTCAATACTGGAGTTGAAATAGGAGCCTCTGATGTGTCAGACTGCTGCTCACTGTTCTCTTCAGTTGATTCCTCTGACTGAGGATTCTCAACTATAGGATTTTCTGGGACATCATCCACTTCTGCATACACTGGCTCAATCTGTTCTATATTGTTGGCGCTTATGCTATGCTTGTCCTTGTACATAACTCTTTCATTGAAGATTACATCTCTGCTGCGGATCATCTTTCTGTTTTCATCATCCCATAGGCGGTAGCCAAACTCATCTTCACCATAACCGATGAAAGTGCACTTCTTTGATTTGGGATCAAGCTTACTCCTGCCTTGATCATTAATGTGCACATATGCTACACAGCCAAAAACTCTAAGATGTGAGAGTTTTACCTCTTTTCCACTCCATACCTCTTCTGGTATTTTGTGCTCCAATGGTACCGATGGACCTCGGTTGATCAAGTAAGCTGTTGTGTTGACTGCTTCTACCCAGAACTGCTTTGGTAAGCCTGACTGCACATGCAAGCTTCTGGCTCTTTCAGTCAACGTTCGATTCATACGCTCAGCTACACCATTGTGTTGAGGCGTACCTGGCACGGTCCTCTCCATTCTGATCTCGTGCTCATAGCAAAACTTCTTGAATCTGGTGTCTTCATATTCACCACCATTGTCGGTTCTGATCTTTTTAATCTTCAATCCTGTTTCATTTTCAACCATGGCTTTCCACATCTTGAAAGCCTCAAATACTTCAGACTTATATTTCAAAAAGTATACCCATACCTTTCTGGAGTGATCATCGATAAAAGTGACAAAGTATTGCTTTCCACTAATGGATGGGACAGATGTTGGATCCCAAACATCAGAGTGAACAAGCTCGAGTCTTTCCTTCTTTGGAGTTTTTCCACTTGTCTGAAAGCTAACTCGTTTTTGTTTTCCAAGTATACAGTCTTCACACATGTCAATTTCTACTGACTGAAGACCTGGTAGCTTACCGTTTGAGTGCATGATTTTCATCCCTTTCTCACTCATATGGCCTAGTCTCTGGTGCCATAGATTGAGATTTTCATTTGCTGCAACTGCAATCAGATGACATGCTCCTGCTGTCTTATAAAGAGTACCACTCTTTTTGCCACGAGCAATTACCATTGCACCCTTTGAAATCTTCCAGTTATCACCGTGGAAGATTGTTGTGTAGCCTTCACTGGCCAACTGGCTTACTGAGATTAAGTTCTTTGTCAGGTCGGGAATATGTTTGACATTTTTCAATTCCCATACAGACCCGTTCAACTTAACCTTCACTACACCTTTACCCACAATCTCACATGATTGGTCGTTACCAAGGTAAACTTTACCAAGGTTTCTGGGAACATAGTTCTTGAAGAATTCTCTCTGTGAAGTGGCATAAAAAGATGCTCCAGAGTCTAACACCTAAGACTCTTCCTTGCTCTCTAAAGAACATATCAACGCATCATCTCCTCTAGAGGTGGAAGCAACATTTGCCTCGTCTTTCGCGTCCTGATTCTTTCGTGCATTCTTGCACTGATTCTTGTAGTGCCCGGACTTTCCACAATTCCAACACTCGATTGCCTTCGATTTGTGGGAACTATGATGACTTCTGGATTTGGACCTCCTGTCCTTTGATTTACCACGTCCATTTCCTCTTATTGAATTTCTTCCTCTTGACTCTGTATGCAATACTGAAGAGGTTGATGATTCTCCTGACTCTCTTCGTCAGATTTCTTCATTGAGAATCAGATCACGAACATCATTGAATTTCAACTTAGTGTCTCCCGTCGAACTACTCACAGCTGTGACAGTAGTCTTCCAACTTTCTGGTAGAGAGGACAAAAGTGTCAATGCTCGTACCTGATCATCAAATTCAATCTCAATTGAACTCAATTGGGTTAGGACTGTATTGAGCTCATTTATGTGGTGCGCTACTGATGCGCCTTCTGTCATCCGAAGGTTGAATAACCGCTTCATCAAATAAACTTTATTTGAAGCAGACGGCTTTTCATACATGTCGGAAAGAGCCTTCATAAGATCTGCCGTGGTCTTTTCTTTTGCAATGTTGAAAGCAACATTACGGGATAACGTCAATCGGATGACTCCAAGGGCTTGTATATCGAGAAGATTCCATTCGTCCTCTTGCATGCCCTCTGGCTTTGTTCCTGTGAGAGGTTGATACAGCTTTTTTTGATACAGATAATCCTCGATCTGCATCTTCCAAAAGTCAAAGTTTGTATCATCGAACTTTTCAATTTTCACCTTTCCTTCATCTGCGGCCATCACTCCCACTCAAATCTGACTTCTCCTCAGAATCGTTTCTGACAATTTCTGTATACCACTGTGTTTAGAACACGTCTGTGAACAAATTTGTAATGCTGACAAATTTTTCACTATTCACTATTCACTATTCACGTGAACAGTACTTGCGAGTTTACTATTCATATGAACAGTACCTCACAAAAATTGCAGAATTTTGAACCAGTTCTGATACCAGTTGTTGAGAAAATTACGCCGAATTTTCTTATAATGTCAGATTTGTGGAAG